GGTAAAGGAAGTAGCTAGATGGCTGGCAGCAAGTCAACCCCTTCACACCTCCAGTGGCAAATGATGGTAGCCCCAACTGCAGATAGGAGGTAGAAAGGGGCAAAAAGCATATTTTTTTTCCTACTTAATGCAGCAGAAGGCTAGCACCACTGCTCTCACTTCAGGAAACAGCTGTACCAGTACCAGCCACCTGAATATGACAAAGCCATCGAAGATGCTTGTATGATTTTGGGGATGACTGCCAGCAGGTTGCTGTTCTGGTCTAGCCTATCATGTTAGGAAGTGTACTGCATGAGGCCTTTCCAAAAGTTGCAGCAAAGCCTGCTACTTTCTCCTGTTCTTTTTAGCTGCAGGCATTTCGGGGTGGCTCACCCTTCCTCTGTTGGTATAAAGAGACCCCATCTTCCTGGTGCTAGTATTCTTAGTGGGAAGTATTATCCCCTCTTACAATTGCATTGCAAGTGGAAAGACACTGCAGAGGTTTCAGAAGAAATTTCACGTCTGTGCGGCACAGCATAGCCCTGCTAGAAGTTAAGAGGCTGGCTGCCTTGCCTGTCTCTGTCTCATGTGAAATCTGTATCGCAGCAGGGAACGTGTTGGAGGATTTTGCTTTCAGCTTCTAATTTTCATCATGAAAAGCAGAACAATTTGACCACAGTGTTATTGGGGAGCTGAGTTTGGGGAGGGGAGTTAGGCTTATACTGTGATTTAACAGAATTGTTGGCTTTTCAGTGCCAGTGCTCTAGGTTCTGATTTTGTCAAAGACATGGACAAAAGGACTTTGAAGAGAGGCCGGCCCAGGAGCAGAATAATAGCAATATTAAAATTTCATTAAAATATGAAGGCACAAAAACTGTGAAGGGTCTTTTGTGGCATTGCAGACTCCTCTATTCTGTGTGCAACTTTGAGAGGTACTTTCAATGAAAAAGGCCAGTTGGCGAGGTTCTTGCTTGCATAGGGCTGAGGGTAGAAAAATCAGATGCAGGAAGCATAAAATGCACTGTTTGCTAATAAATGGGTATAGTTCACTGATGTCAATAAAAAGCCAGCAAGAGCTGAATAAGGGCCCTGTATACCTGGAAGGAGACTATCCATGATTACAGAGAGCTTTCATTACAGCTGAAGGGGTGAGACAGAATCGCATTGAAAATGGTAATAATTGGTAAAACCTATCATTGGATCTAGTGTGCAGCTAATACACAGTACAGTGGAAGGTGTTACCGTGACTGTGAGAGGCTGGTAAAAGCCACAACATTCATTTTGCAGGTACATACATATCGAGAGAAAGGCACAAAACAAACCAGGCAATGCCTGCCCGACATCTCTCTTAGAGTTGTCATTTCATATGTGACTGTTGTCCATGCTGCTTCGCCTCCATACTGACAGCCCTTGAGAGCTCATCGGTATACTATAAGCCACATCCTTTTCTCCTCTACGGTGGAGTTAGACAGCATCATGAGAAGAGCAGGAGCTCCTTGCACTGTTGTACTGCTAACACCCTAAGGGTTGGTGCAAGGCAAGGGCTATGGGGACGCAAGTTAGAACCAGAGCTGCATCAATGCTGGAGTTTACAGCTGCTCCCCAGTTTAATATGTATATGTATATTCACCGTGTGGTTAGACTTTCTAAGGTTGTGGCAGTTTTTTGCTGTGTCTGGCTCAGACACGTAGCTAATGTAGCGTGTCAGAGCTTGGCTGTGAACAGTACCCACAAAGCACCTTCATTCTTCATCCTTGCAAGTACCGTGAGGCACAAACATGACACTTGAGTGAGGAAAACAGGACTCTAAAACAGCCTGTGCGAAGCCCCCCACCTGCAGGAACAACGCAGGAGGCAGACCTGCGGGGAGTGCAGCCAGCTGGCCTCTGGTCTGGAGGCACCCGAGACTGCAGACAGCAAGTCAGGAACAATCTCCGCCTCCTCTGTTGCCAGTGGTGTAGGAACTTGTTCTGCTCCTCTGATTTTGTAGGTAAACGTGCTAAATTTGAGTTTGGAGCTTGAGCAGGGCTTGAGGTCCTCCTTGCTCAGAGTTAGCACTTGAGACACCTTGGCTGATCGTGTGGTGCTTCCCCTACTGCAGCTTCCTCTTGGCCTTGTGGCTGTTTGCCCGTTCTAGAGGCATGTTCAGAAAGTGTCCTCTCACCTGCAGGACAATGATGTCATCCTGTAGCTAGATCCTTTTTTCTTCCGAGGGGCTAAGAAAAACTTGGCACACTGTTATCATTTAAAAATAATAGTGGGCTGCATCCTTAGATGGTGTAAATCATCATCAGATCAACTGATGGTGCTTGAGGACTCGAGCACTGTCTACAACTGCAGTTGGTTTTGCCTCCTGTTTTGTGGTCTGTGGTGGCTGTAGGTGGTCTTGCGCTTTGAGTCAATGTCCATCGCTTGAGTTGAACATCCAGCCATGTTTCCCTTTCAGCTCCCATCTCTTCCTATTTATTACCTTCAGTCCAGCCTTCAGGAGAAGTAGTAGCTCATTGGAAGGTGAAGGGTAATGGTTTTCATGGAACCTCTTGTTTCATAATGGCTTGTTTTTTTCTTTTCCAGAGGGACGGATGCTCATTCAGGACCTCCCTTCCATCCCCAGCAGAGGGCACTTGGAGAGCGCGTCTGATTTGGTTGTGGACTCCACCTACTACAGCAGTTTTTACCAGCCATCCCTGTATCCTTACTATAACAACCTGTACAACTACTCCCAGTACCAAATGGCAGTGGCCAGTGAGCCTTCCTCAAGTGAGACGGGGGGTGCAATTGTAGGGTCGGCCATGAAAAACAGCCTTCGAAGCCTCCCAGCAGCATATATGCCAAGCCAGTCAGGAAAACAGTGGCAGGGGTGATGTGATGTTACAGAGGTATTACATGGAAGAGTGAGGTGAACCATTAACTGTTTTTCGGGCCTGATCCTGACCTCCTCTTTTTTGGTTTCATGGCAGTACAAAGCCAGAACCAGATTCCAGGGTGGGATTAGGACCCACCTAAGTTAGCTGAAAGGGGTAGTTATGATGCAGCACAACAAAAGCAATTGTACAGGTATTGATAGGTTGCCACAAGCACAGATAAAGGGCACACACTTGATTTTATCTTTTTATGTACGTCATAGTAGATTATGGACTGTTTTCTGGAAAAAGAGTCCAACTGAATTACCGATCCTGGGAGCTTCAGGTGTCATTTCTGATAAGCTTTGTTGTTTGGGAATCTGTTCTTTTCTCTTTGGTCTTTTACATCCAAGGCGCTGAAGTGATGCAGGAGACCATGCTGTTGTGCAGTGGGTTGGTGGCAGTCAGTTGAATGTGGCATGGCATGTTGCTAATGGTCTGTTCTGGCAGTGTCAGCTCCAGGGCTTGTGATTTCGACTTGGTTAGCTCTAGTTACAGGCTGTGCCTGAGAGGTTTGCACCAGAGTTCTGTGTACTTCAATAGTTAGGGTATAAAGCCAGCCAAGCCCTCTCACTCTAGGACTTGGTAATTGTAGCCTCCAACTCAGTACTGGTCAGAGACTGGAAAAAGGGGAAATCTGGCAAGGAGGGGGATTCTTGGCAATGCAAGTGGAGCCATTTCATTGACCCTGAGGCTGTTTGGATCTTGCGTTGCAGTGGTGCTTTTCTGTCTGAGATTGAACTTGGGAGGTTACAACCCCTGAGTCTTTGTACACCCATGTCCCCTGTCCAAGGGTGGGAGTGGGCAGACCTCTTCTGCAGAGCATCAAGAGAGGACAAGCAGCCTTCTGCAAAGGCTCTGTTGTGAAACCACTCAACAACGAAATCTTAAATGTCCACCGAAAACTCCCTTTCTGAAGGGAACACATGGGTCGTCCTCTTTGCTGACAGAGAATTCCTCTGCAATTCTGGCACAGGGACCAAATCTGAAAGGGCATTTTAACTTCTGATACCAAGGAGCTGGAACTAAGGCCAGGGGGATTACAATTACTGTAGCAGTCCACATCACCTTCAGTGAGGCTTTCCTATCATTGGACACTTTTTTCGTGGAAAGGTCCTTCTGAAAATGTGGGGGCCTCCTGGGGCAATGTCTTGTCAGGTCCATGAATTTTAAGATCATGGCTTTACAGCAGTCTGCATTTAGTACTATTCCACGTCACTTTTTCACCATGAGTACAACTGTATGGGGAAAAGAGCTGTCTCCCTTACTTCTGTTATGTAACCCCACACCACGAGAGCTTTCTTTCCCAGTATGTTGCTAGGCTTCACCGCAACCACCTTCAAATACATTGAGGTATGCCTTTTCTCTTAGGTGAGTTGATAGCATCCTCTCTAGTTGCTGAATTTCATCACCAAACCCGGGGGAGAATTAGTCAAGGCAAGCTGGGGCTAGGATTCTGTGTGTGATAGTGATGTGAAGTGCCAGTGCTTTTTTAGCTTTTTCATTTTATTGATTGAGTTAACCTGGCACCTCATAGCAGAGTATTTCAGATAGAAAGTTACTTCTTCTGAAGCTTTTGCAGTACCTAGCTTGTAAGAGCCTGCTACAGAACTGATGCTTGGAGACACTGTCATAACACAAGTGAGAGACAGCGACATTCGTTGTGTGAAAATAATGTTCTTTGCAGGCTGCTAGTCCCTGCAAGACTTCACTCCTCCAGCCAGTAGAGACTTCTGTGGTTTTACTCACTTCAGAAGCAGAGTAAATGACAGGCATTGACTATCCTAGTGCATAGTGTTTGAGGAAGCAATACGTGAGGGTATGTTAAAATGTTGGAGTGAAGATGGTTCTGTTGTCTTGGTTCTGTTGTCAGGTACTGTCATTTGAAGCTAGACTATATCTGTAAGAAGCCTTGGCCTAGAGGGTCCGTTGTCTCTACTGTGAGATTGACTGTTTCTTGTGGGGCCCTTAAATAAAAGCAATAGTATGTTTTCCATGCCTTTTTATCTTGTGTCCCTGTAAAATCTGTAACTAACTTCTGTTTAAATGCCACTCAAATTAGTGAGATACTGAAGAGGTGATTAAGGAAACAAGAGGTGATTGTTGTGAAAAAGGACCATTTTCTGCCACCAGCAGGCTCCAAGCACTGGGCATTGGTTTCCACCTTGTGGGTATGTATCACATGGTTCCATTTACCTCCATGTGAAGTTAGTGATTTACCTCACCTAAGATTTTAATTTCTCCTGGTCAAACCTCTTGGCATCTCTCAGTGCAGTTCTGGTGAGATGTCTGTGAAGGCAGACTAGAGGTAGTGCTTTCTGCCTGCAGAAGTGAAATGTCTACAGCTTCTACATGGCAGAAAACCAGGACCCACCTCTCTTGTTCAGTAGGGCAGAGTGTAGTTCAAGGTCAGCATCATGTAACTTAAAAGCTGGTTCTCAGAGGCTGATCTGCAAGAAGGCTTGCTGTTGCTGGAAGAGTTAGGAATCATGGGGTTTGCATACTGTTACGGCAGCATAACATTGCACCAAATAATCATAAAAAATTTTACAGTGGGAGCTAGGCTAGGTAGTGTTTCATGGCAGTGGGTGCAGTGATGCTGAGGATGTAAAACACTGTGTGGCACTGAGCACGGTTCGTTGTAAGGGGAACAAGTTCTCAGCTGCTGCACGTGGTTAAACATGATTCTGTGCCTGGAAGGTTGCCAGCAAGGGAAGATCACAGAAACACGGTGTTAAATGGAGGAGGATGAATGAGTTTTTGTGTCAAGCATGGAAGTTGTGTCAAGTTTCAAAGTATGGTCCACAGAGAGGAATCAGACCTTGCTTACACCTTCAGGTGGTTTTGCTGGCAAGCCTATGCAAGCTGATTCTGTCCAGAGGAAGCACGTAGCTCTATCTACACAGGGATTTTTGCTAGACTGACTGGGTTTATTTTTCACATGCACAGGCTTTCTTAACCAGTCTTCTAGTAGGAGTGCGTCTGCTCATGTGACTGGTAGTGCTATAACTGTGTTGGTCAAGGTTTTTGATTTTCGCTTCTTTACCAAAAATGATAGCTGTGCAATGCCTGCTGTGATTAAATCAGGGCAGCTTGCTAAGCTGTGAGCCTACAGGACGGTGTCTTTATTTGTATAAGCCACCCATGTGCTCACTGGAAGGTACCCTAATTTAACCAGTGTAGACAAGCCTTTTCCAGGCTCTGTTAACAGAGGGTCACTTGTCCTCGCATAACTGTAACCACACAAGGAGAACTGCATATTTAAAGTAAGGTAACTTCTAGATGCAGACAAGGCCTTGAGCAGCCCAGCTGTCTGCTGTTTCAGAATTTAGGGATCAAGGGAGAAAAGCTGGGGAGGAAACGTGTGAGCGTGTGTGGGATGGGATGAAGATTAATGCATCATTGAGCCTTGGCAAATAAACTGAATCACTGAATCTTTAATGTAGATTAATGTCAGATTTCATTAGTCTTTGTTCTTTGCAGAGGCTTGCGTACTTGAGTGGATTCATAAAGGTGCAATTTTTTTATATATTTCCGTGTAGGTTTTGTTCATTTGTATATAATTACCCCAGAAGCTGTACCCATTATGATTTGACAAGCACAATGAAGGTGATAGTTTTGATTGAGATCCCTTCAGTCATTTATATTCTGCTGCTTTTGCCAGCTCTAAGGCAGATAATCAGATACGTCTGCTGTTGTGCTTGAAGAAAAGACAAGCTTAGGTCAGAGAGGAGATGCAGCAGATATGGTGGTTACTGTGCATCTCCTTTCACTCCAGTTCTCTGTGAGCATCTGGACCCTCCCTTGAACCTCTTACAATTGTTCATTACAACAGGAATTTACATACACTTAATCCAATTAACAGTTAAATGAGTTCACCAACATTAGTACTGCAAGTAAAAGCATGTTGGTATACAGTGAAAGTTGGTGCTTCTGAAACTGATCTCACTGAGACCGGCTTAGGGACAGCAAACTGGAGAATGGTGGGGTGACTGCAGTCTTTTCTGCCACAACAAAAGTAAAACCTGGGTGGGCACGTTCATATCTAATCAGGTTTAATTCTCCAAGCTGGCAATGAAACTGCTGGTGTGTGACCCACAGCATAAGGATAATTGTGACTCTTTGTGAGTCAGCATCCTCCCCAAAAAGTGTTAAAACTGTTCTGGTTCCTACAGCTGTACCATTAAAAATCTGTGAGATGCAGAATGTGCCCCAACACCTGGGTACCAGTGGCTGAGTTTTCTTTTTGCTCTGGTAACTCCAAGGTTCCTTCTTTGGAGAAAGGTTAAGGCTGGCCAGGAGGTTTTGGACAAATTTCAGAATTTCTTGTAATTTCTGTTTCGTGCTCTGAGGTGTTTTGTTTCCTTTCTTTCTTTCTTTTTTTTCTTAATACAGCTTGGCAAACCAGTATTCTCACTTCCAAAACCTCAAGTTTTTTGTTCTTTCTTTAAACCAATTTAGAGCAAAAACCTGAAATAAGTATTGGTGTGAGTTTGAGAAATTTTAACTCATTTTCTAATATGGAAATTACATTTACCATTTGGAAATGAAATATTTAGTGTTGCTGAGATAGGAAACTGGCTTTTAAGGATTTCTTAAAAAGTAGCAAATGTATAAAACTGTCTTTTACTAAATCCAGAAAAGTGTGGCCATGATCAGGCAGCTAGCAGTTTGAACTCTTTAAGAATAGCTGCTTACTAGTAAAAAAGATTGCTCTTTGCAACTTCTACAACCTGTTTCTAGTTTCTGGCACAGTTTTTCCTCCAATAAGCCTGGCCTTCTTACAGAATTGTGCGGTCTTAACTCTCCAGAAATAGGTGTAAAATGTGTCAAATATATGTGTGCGTGTAAATATATACACATTGTGCAAGTCACCTGACACAATCCTGATTTTATGTGTAAGCAGTGTTATTATATACTGTATTCATAACATACCCTTCACACTACAGATTTATGCTAAAAGTATCCTAATGTTTCTGACAGCTCATGTGTGACATGAATGCAATCCATATTTCTTGGAGGAGCTAATCTAAGCGGTTTATTTTCCGATACTGCTGATAGGGCTATATCTCTAGGTGTCACCGCAGTTGAGATTCTGATGGTAACATATTGTTTATGGGTCACTGCCTTTGTCTAAAAGAATAGGTTGGAACAGAATAGCAAAGGTTAATTAAGTTTGTCTATCAAGGAGGGACAGATATAGATGTCTCTTGTATTTTCTGTGCTAGAATCAAAGTAAGTCAAGGCAGGGTATCATAGACTCATTTTTTCCTTGTGCTGGAAAATAATGCTTAGCTGGTTTTAGGAACAAAACAAAGCCACCTTGGGCAGCGCAACTGCAGCAGTAGTTGTGAGGGGTCAGCTCATGGGCAGTAGTGTTGCAAGGTAGGAGAGTAGCGGCAACCCTGGTTTACAGCTGGGGAAACTGAGGCAGGGAGGTTAGATAAGTTGCCCGTGGTCACACAGCCTGCATGTGACAGAGCAGAAGTTCCTGATGTCTGGATTTCCACTCCGGTGCCCAGAGGATGCCTTCTCACCTCATGCCAAAAACCGACCTGTGAATTCTATTTTTCACAAGCAGTGACACATGAATGCAAAATACAATTTTACACCCCCTAAAGCTGGCTTTATTTTTAAGAACAAGGCACAAGGAGGAGGCTACCTTAAAACTTTCAACAGTTACTTTGGCGTTTCCATAATTACTGTTTCTGTTTTAAGGCAGCTGTTGGTGAGTCATGGGTGAGACAGAAGGATGGAAAGCCTGGGTGAAGTGATTTGGCGGAGATGACATGGCACACCAGTGGCAGAGCTGAAGGACAGTACTTAGATGTCTTCTGTTGCTCTGAATTTTTTGCAGCCCTTGTCACCAAGAATTAGCATCTGCAACCTCCTCCTACTTGTTTATCTTGGGAATAAGCCCCATAGCCAGAGAAACTGCAAAATGTGAAAGTGCTGCTAAGAGTAACACCAGCTTGCTTGCAAGGAGATTGCAGCTGCTAGCTTCTGTAAATAAAAGGTTTATCCAGGTCATGTTGTGTCTCAATAAATGATCTGGGAAGGTCATGACCATTTTCTAGTCTCTGAGGCTGGAAGGAGAAGTGAGACACCACTTGTGCCTGTCTTGCCTCTCTCTGTCTGGTCTGGCCACCTTCCCTCCTCGGTTCTTCCTCCATGAAGAAGATGTGTAGAGGTTATGCAGGTGCTGCCAGGGGCTTGGGAGGAGGAGCTGGGCTTTATGTCGCTCTTCCACCAGCTGTTGAGAAAGCTTGAGAAAGCTTTTTTGCAGAAATGGTCTGAACTGGTGCAAGAGCATTTTCTTTATGCTTCCTTGGCTTTTGCTACATATTCTGTCACTGTTGGGCACTGCTGTAGGGCTGCACTGACTGTTGTGCTCAGTGATGGACAAATCCGGTCTCCAGCTTGCCTGTCTGTGGATGAGCTGTAGCTGCCTTTTGATTCCCCATATTGGCTTTGCAAGGGAACAGGGAGAGAACTTCCACTGCATGCATGGTCTTTTAATCAGGCCATATTTGTTTGTTCATGAGTTACAAGCATCCCACTGGTGCTTGCAGTGCATCCTTTAAAAAGTTATTGAGCGTGCACTGTGTTGTACAATTTAGGGGAACCCGCTGAATAGGCCAAATATGCTTCTTCGATGATCTGCGTCTCCCACTGAAGTCAGTACTTGGGGGACTGATCCTGCAGCTGGCGCAGGGCACGAGCCGTGTGTGGCTGGAAGGGGATGCACTGTGCGTGAGCAGCTCGGGTGTTCGACTCAGGAGCTTAACTTGATATGTGCAAAGAGCAAGCGCATGCCCTTCCCTTCCATAGCACTTCCTCACCTACAACATGCCATGTTCTTAAGGCACGTAGCCTGCGGTGATACAAACCAGAGTGGCTTGTGGGACCATCCCAGCCTTGCCTGTCTTGGCCTTGCTGCAGGGCTGGAAGGAGCGAGGGAGGCGGGAGGAGACACCCACCAGAGGGCCAGCATCTCCTTCTGTGATCCCTGCGTGACCCCAGCATTCCCCCAGGACAGGACCAAGCGAAGGTTCCCAAACCTGGCACCTGGCTGCAGCATTTGAAAGGCCTAACTGCCCCAGGTTAGAAATAATCTGAATATTCCAGGGTCTCCCCAGGGCTGTTTTTATCTCCCTTTCTGGTACCCGAAGTTGTGCAAGGACTGTCCAGAGCGACAGGAGTTAATAGAGAGCAAATGCCCCTTCTCATGGGGTAATGATCTCCTAAGCCCCCTTTTTAATGCAGTGCCAAGGTCAAGAATCTTTACGACTGTATTTTTTTTTTATTGTTACTGTAAAATAGGATTGCTAAGCACTATAAAGAGGAAACCTTATGGTTCAGATTTACTGCAGTGTGTATTCTAAACAGTTTAATAAAACAAAACCAAAAGCTTTTAGATTTTCTTCAGTAGCTAATACACAGCATATTCTTTGCAGAGCCAAGCCTCTGGCTCTTGGTCGAACTGTGGTTCATAGACTTGGTGTGGGTAATAAGATTATAAAACATGTCTCTTGCTAGCCAGCTACCACACACTAATAATAATAGTAGTAATAATTCATTGCATACAGAGATTTTAAGTGAGTTGTTTTTTTAAGAAATGGAGAAAAACACTAAAAACAGGTTTTAAAGGAAACAGGTCACTGCATCCCCTCCACAGCGAGAGGAAACATGCACGTGATTGTTTCAGTGCTGGGGAGTGATCTCTCCATTTTGTTACAGCTGAAATAATGCTGTGTCCTGCAAGCAACCTTTTCTCAGTCGTACACATGCACGTGTGTACTTGCACAAGGGAGAGAGGGAGGTGTGAGGACCGTGGATGCTGCCCACAGCCCTGCCCCGCCGAGGGAAGGAAGATGTTGTGTGCAAAACGGGAGGCAGAGAGGAGTTTGCTAACTTTTTTTCCCCCAGTGCTTCCACAGCGCTTGAGCTTTGCAGGTGTGCAGGTTCAAAATGGCCTTTGGACTGAGCTTTTGGGCAGTTTGTATTGACAATCCATAATTTCAGGCCAAAGGCAGCCTGGGTTTTGTTGAGGGGAGTCTGTGCAAAGCACAGGTATCTGTTTCCTGTTTATGAGGAGACTGCCCTCTTTTCAGAACAGCAGAGGGGATGTCAGTGGCTTTTTTGAGTTCAGGCTTCCTTGGAATGACATGTTAAACTTTTTTAAGAGCAATTTACTATTTATCATGGATAAAACTTCGGTGCAGGTTGAACTTTTTCTGTATGCATAGGGTGCAGATGGGAGAAAAATCACGTTTTAAGTAGTGCTTTAATTTATAATAGAAACCCCCTTACTTTCAGAGGGTAAAAGCGTGTCTTGCTGATCCCCCAGTACGTGTATAAATAAATACGTGCGACTGTGCTGCTGGCAGAAGATGAGCAGAGGTGCAGTTTGTTTCCTGTAAACAGCCACTGCTCCCTCTCGGCCCCTAATCTCGCCGCAAACCTGGGTCTACATGGGATGCGGGATGTTGCCCTCCATCTCAGAGAACACTTAGCAGGATGTTATGTGACTTGGGCCACATTATTTCCAGCTAGGCACACTAAAATGAGTATTGAAATACTAAGGGGACCCCTGGAAAGCAAAGGGTGACTGCATTCTGGCTGCTTCACTGGGAGGTGCCAGTGGCTCCTTCTGCCAGGAGCAGACCCTGGGGGTCTGCTGGCATGGGGCGGCTGTCTGGGACAGCAGGTTCACCCTCTGCCTCTGCTGCTCCCTGGCTCTGGGGTTTGCAGCCTGGGAAGGGCTGAGGAGCAGCGCTCCGCGTGCGGCTGGCTGGGACCCGAGGGAACCGTGGTGGAGCAGGCAGAGCTCCTCTAACTGGGGTGAGACGTGGCTGAAAAGGCTGCCAAGCACTTCTGCTTGCAAAGACAATGTCCGGTGGTATAGCTGGGTGTGCATTACTACTGTTGTACTTGGTACAAAACTGTGATATTTTTTCTCTGCCCGGAAGCTTCCCATCTTACTGCCCAGCAGACTTAGGGAGACCAGGTAGTATTACCTTTCCTGTTGAAAATCCAAATCATGTGAGGTGTTTGGCTCCATTTTTTGCAGCACCATAGCCACGTTACATTGTAGGGCTTTGGAACAAATAAAAGTAGATGGCAGTTCTTTCATAAAACAAAAATTTAAAAAATTTAAAATTACAGCCTCTCTTGGATGATTTCAGGGCATTGGAGTAGGATAAACTTTGATTTCTGGGTGCTGCCAACTTTGCTGCAGGCTGCAGCAGGGAGAAGGGGTTGTCTGGTGGTCACCATGCTGACACAGCGGATCTGCTTGCTGGTATCCAGCTGTGACTCCACTACAAGCTTCCTGTGTAGTCTGTCCACAGCGTGGTGTCTCTGGGTAAATCAGGAGAATATTTTTCCGTCTCACTGGGTTGTGAGAAAAGCGATGCGTTTGTGTGTGTGTGTGTCACTGATTAGATGCCATGGAGCATGTCCCAAATGAGTCAGTCAGTAGGACTGTCCTTTGCCACCCCGTAGATCCCTGGCAGAGCAGTTACCATCAGCCTGAGAGGGGTTAGTCTCTGGCTGGCTGTGTGTGGTTGAAGGGGTCTGGAAAGCTTCCAGTGGTGTGGTCTGTGCCCTAAAGCAGGGGACTTGCCAGGAAGCTCTGTGCGGTGAAGGGTACATGCTTGTGTGTCAGACACAGCTTCACCTGAGGTAAGATAAACCAGCCATAGGTATGCGGGTGCTGCTGCTGGTAGGTCACATCCCATACCACACCAGTTCACTTGTAGCTGAGCAGTGTGGGCATGCCGTGAGCCAACGAAAGCAAAAACCCAAGGCCAGCCTGTCAGGATTTTACTAACATCCTCCGTGACCTCCCTCAAAGCTGTGTGCGTGTGGGGCAGCGGGCTGCCCGTGCAGTGCCGGGGCTCAGTTTTCACAGGCTGCCTTTCTGCTTCTCTCTCTGGCAGGTGAAGGGCATGGAAAGCCGCCACACCGTCAGCTCCCAGTACCGCATGTGTTCCTACTACCCACCTGCTTCCTACCTGGGACAGGGTGTTGGCGCTCCCACGTGCCTTCCACAAATCCTGACTTCTGAGGATATCCCCTCCTACTCGGAGTCAAAGGCAAGAGGTAAGTGCACCCACTGGGACCACCTTGCCTTAGGACAGGCATCCAGGAGGCTTGGGTTGCTCCTGGGAAGGAAGCTAGGCATCAGAAGGTAGGTGTTTACAAGATGGTGGCTGTTTTCTGGAAGGCTTGTAGTGCAGTGGCAACATAGGGCTGTTACTGAACAGTAGCACAGGCTTGTACTTCAGAAGCCTCATACTTCAGGAGCACAGTTAGCTGTACCTTTCTGCTCCTGTGTACGTCTTCATGTTGTACAAAGAGTCACTTGAGCTGCCACCTTTGATGCTTACCACCTGGGTCCCTCACAGGAGCAAAGAATTATCTTTGCCCAACTACAGAATTATCTTTCCTCTCTTTTCTTCTCAGAAATGCTGTCCGTGATTTTTCCCACTGAGCCTTTGCTGTCCTCTTCTTTCTGAACCACATATGGGAACTACTTCTGCATCCCAACCATGTTGTGAAGCTCTTTGCAGATTTGCTTCCTTGTTTGCTGGCAGACTCATCATACTATGTTACTTCATTTAAAACTACTGCAGATAAATGTTTCTTTTCATAGTGAGTGTTTCTTGGCTTTCCTAAAGGTTACTATAATCTGCAATAATTTCCAGGAAAGCAGTGGTGAATTTACCCTGTGGTTTTGACCATGTTTCTCTCACTTCCTTGTTCCCTTGCTGTGGTAGCAGGTAGAGTGCACATACAGGCATTAACCTGGCCCTGCTGGAGTAGACCAACTCCATCAAGCTGCTTCCCTGTCTCTGGAACAGGACAGTAATTGATGCTGGAGAAACAGAGAAAGAGTAGGGTGATCCTACTTTGTATGCCCCAAATCCTCACAGTCCTACAGCATTCAAAGGTGTCCTGAGCTCTCGATTGCCTCTGAACAATCATTTCAGTTACCCGCAGCAGTCCTGCACTCTGTGAATTGAGCTAACCCTTCCATAAGCTTTTCATACTTTCTGTCTCTCTGTAGCAATCAGTGAATTTGGCAGTTTAATTTTGTATGGTCTGTGGGAAGTATTTATTTTCATCTACTTTACACCTGCCAAATTTTTATGTGTTTGGGGTTTTTTTGCACAGAGTCACACCACTGGCAACAGCATCCATCCTCATTTGCTTCTCTGATGCACTTATACATTGAAATTAATCTTATCCTCTTTATATCTGATGGAAGGATGTATGTTGCATAGGTTCCATAACTGGTTTCAATTGGCCTTTCTGTGGCCGATGTCCTGGTGTCTGTTGCATTTGTGTTGTGAAAAATATGGTGGTTTTGCCATGACAGGACCTTAAGGACTCAAATGACGTTTCGGAAGGTGAGGTGTGTATAGTCATACCTGTGGCTGGTGTAGATCAGCACTCAGCACTTGAATTCAGTAACTCCAGAATGATCTATGGTGAGGAGGTGGCTGCTCTTTCGGGGTGGCTGTTTTCTGAAAGTCTTCCAACTAACTGTGACGTATCAGATAGATGAAGAAACAACATGTGGTGTGATGAAACCTTAGATTTTTCCTCTTTCTCCAGTAGTTTTAAATGGCTTAGAGAAATCAGTGATCCTTGGTTCATTTTCCTTCTCTTTTCTTCAATTTTATTTTCTTCCTTCTTCTCTGACCGCCATTGAACAGTGACGTCTTCCTTTCTGCCCATTGGTCGGAGAAGCAGTTGGCTTTATGCTCAACTGCGGTTGACACTTTTTCTTGCATCCATCACTACTAACTCACTAAGAAGTCTTACCAGTCGAGTGTTCTTACAAATAGACAAAAGACCTTACACCCTTTGTTCCCAAATGCACTTCAGTAATTTTTCATCACTCTAGAAAAAAGTTGTGCATAATGTGCCACTGATTTTTAAACTGCATAAATACTGTATTTTCAATAATCCCTGACTGCTTCTCCAGACAGTATTCCACACACAGATATTGTTCCCTAAGTTACACCATCAATCAGAAACCGACAAGCAGTGAGATGTAATTTACTGAGATCAAACAGCATTTTTCAGACTCTGAAGAAGTGTTTTTCCATAGCAGGGAGCTAGTGGGTGAAAGAGGCACCAATATTTTTGTGAGAAACTTGAGCATGTGAGCAGGACCATACCCATTTAATGGGCTTCTTAGAAGCATCTTCTTTTTCATTATGCATGTTCCTGGAGGAGATGACTGTTTTTACTTATTCTGTCTGGGGGGGTTGGAACTAGATCACCTTAAAAGGTCCCTTCCAACCCAAAGAATCTATGATTCTGTGATCTACAGACAAAATAATATGCTTAGGCTGTTAGTTGACGATTTACACTCCCATGACATTTTTCTTCTGCTGCTTTTGGCAGTCCTCAGAGGGTTTGAGGTTTTTTGCCTCTATTGTCATCTGTGTGAGTGCTGAATCAGCCTGGCTGTGACCAGGGGATCCTGCGTATTAGAGAGGGTGGTCCATTCCCCCGAAGTACTGACTGCCCATGCTGCAAGTGCTGTCTCATACAAAAAACACATTCTTCTTTGTTTCTCCGTTGGTTGTTGGGCTGAACTTTCTGTACAATGCCTGACTGCTTTCTGTGAAGCCTGGTGACATGTTTCTGCAAGGTTAGTGGTTGCTACTTGCTAAAGACAACTCCAGTGTATGTTTTAAATAAACAAATTATATTTTAGTCCATCCTTTTTTGTGGTTGAGGTGGTAACCATGCTCAGACTTGTTTTCTTTCTAAGGATACATGTTCATAGATTGCAGATCCAGAAGGGAACGTTAGGATCATCTAATTTTACTTGCTATATAATGCAGACTGTAAAACTTCACCTAATAACTCCTGCAGCAAGTCCATAACTAATTTTTTTATGTGAAGACTTACGTCTTGTTAATCCAGAAATTTTACAGGAAGTGTGTATAGAAGAGCAATAGGTCAAAGTAAAAAACCCATTTTGCAGCCAAATTTTCAAAACACCAGAAACATATATCTTTAACAAAAATGGTTATTAAAAGCCCAAGCACAAATCTGAGATGGTCTTACAATGCATGCAGTCTATTACCTCCGTTTCAGTTCTAACTTCAGCCTTTTAAAGGTTTTGCCAGTTTATTTATTACCTCAGTTGGTATTTTGGTCAGACTATTTCATTAATTTTGTTCTGCTAAGTTAATTGCCTGCTTAGACCAGTTATATTGAAATATATATATATACTGGAGGAGAGATAAGCTAGCAGACCACTGATTTACACTTTCTTTACTTTTATGAATGATGCAAAGTTCTCAGGAAGCTTCTGACATTTGTGCATGAGGTCATACCATGTTACAGTGTGTTGCATATAGTAATGGGCTGACATTTTCTGAATGGCAAAACACCATCAGTCAAACTCTTTGCAAGCTGATGTGGTTCTAAGTGAAATGGTTTTGCTTGCAACTAAGCACAGCTGCTGCCCTTCTAGCTGAAACTGGAAAAAATGGGGAGAAAAAGAAGATAAAGTGGTGACAAATGGCAAACAGATGTTTTCAGAGGGCTATCTTAGATCACCAGGTTGTAAGTTTTATATAATAATTTCTGGGTGGGAGAGGGATCTTGTACTCTGTACTTTGAAAAGGTTTTTCCTCTCCTTTTTTCTGCAAGAGCAATGAGAGGAAAAGATGCATGAGAGGTTGTTATCAGTCCCTGTGCATGCAAAGCTCTACTTTAAAACACGTCTTTCTTTTGGAGGAAGCAAAGCCTTGCGCAAGAAGTGGAGGAATTAGAATAGGTCACAACAGGATATTTTATCTCCAAAATCCCAGGGTCTTACTCCCATCGATTTCTGTGGGACAGTTGCGTTGGGTTTTTTTGGTTGAAATTGGCAGAAAAATTTAACATTTGAATAGAAGGATGCAAAGGAGAAGCATCCCTGCATTTGCAGTCACCTTTGATTTTAAAGTAGTTACCTTATCTGAAAGTTGGCATGGAATAAAAACTCCTCTTTGTCTTTATTATGAGAAATGTTGAGGTAATTATTGTGTGTGTCTGTGCTGATGGTGAAGGAGAAGTCTTGCATTTAAAATGTTGCTCTAGCTGCTGGATGGATTTGAATTTTTATTTTCCCATCTAAGTGTCAGGATAGTTGGAAACACAAATACTGAAGCAGTGGAGCAGTGCTGTATTTGCAGCTTGAACATAAAGCAGGAGCCTGAAGCTCAGACACAATTAAGAAAAACTGATAGAGACTGTTCATTTTGATACAGAAAAGGCCCACAGTTTCATGTAGATCAGCAAACACCATTTTATGAAGGAGAACATTTCTGGTAAGAGGCTTTTTGTCAGCAGAACAACTTCTCCCAAGTAACTAGTGATAGGACAAGAGGAAATGGCCTCAAGTTGCGCCAGGGGAGGTTTAGATTGGATATTAGGAAAAATTTCTTCACCGAGAGAGTGGTCAGGCATTGGAACAGGCTGCCCAGGGAGGTGGTGGAGTCGCCATCTCTGGAAGCGTTCAAAAAATGTGTGGATGTGGCGCTTCAGGACATGGTTTAGGGGACATGGTGGCACTGGATTAATGGTTGGACTTGATGATCTTGAAGGTCCTTTCCAACCTAGTGATTCTGTGATTCTAACACCTTTAGAACACTTTTTTTACAGTCTTTTCTAGAAGTTAAATAACTGGTGTCCCCAGGTTTACAGTTGTGGAAGTCAAGGCAGCACAGACTTTTGCAGGATCTGCATTTAAAGCCTCACCCTTGTGTCTCTCTTCCTGGATGCTGTGTGGAGAACAGTGCTCAGCCATTGGAGATGCCTGCCCAAACTGGAGCCGCACTGTGAAGAGCCTCTTTCAGTGGTTTCACGGTCAAGGGTGTGTTGGAAACAGTCTCCCTCCTTAAGACAAAAAGTTTCATTTTGGCAAAAGCATTGCTGGAATGAGAGGAATGTCGTGTGCACCAGCAACAAGCACAAGAGGTTGGATGTTTCTTTCAGACCAGGTTACTCTGTGCCAAAGTTATGCCCCTTTTTTGAGGTTTCCTACATAGAGTATTTTTGCATGAACCTGTACTCTTGAAACGCCACGCGAGATAAGAGTAAAGCTCCAGAGCCACAGGTGGCATCTGGCTGTAGGATCAGAGAGGTCAAGGAGTCCTGGTATGCAAAAGGTCTTTG